AAAGTACACACAGGGGAAAATATAATTGCAATACATTAGTTGAGATAGATCTAAAACTACATTTCTGGGTGCAATCTGTATGATTTTTTTTAAAAAAACAATTTTTTTAGTTTTTCAATTACACTTGACATAAAACATTATATTAGTTTCAATGCATTGATGAGACATTTATATAACTTACAAAGTGATCACCCTGATAAATCTAGCACCCATCTGACACCATACATAGTTATTTCTACATTATTAATTATATTCCTTATGCTTCCCCCATGACTATACTGTAACTATCAATTTGCACTTTTCAATTCCTTACTCTTTTCACTCACCCCACAACCCCCTCCCATTTGGCAATCATCAGAATGCTCTCTATATAAGTCTGTCTCTGCTCCGCTTACTTGTTAATTTTGTTCTTTAGATTCCACATGTAAGTGATGTCATATGGCATTTGTCTTTTTCTGTCTGACCTACTCCACTCTGCACAATACCCTTTAAGTCCTTCTATATTGTTGCAGATGGCAAGATGTCATTCCTTTTTATGGCTGAGTAATATTCCACTGCATATATGTACCACATCTTCTTTATCCATTCATCCATTGATGGACACCCAGGTTGCCTCCACATCTTGACTATTGTAAATAATGCTGAAAGGAACACATGTCCCTTGGAAGTAGTGGTTTGGGTTTCTTTGGATACATACCCAGAAGTGGGATTCCTGAGTTCTTCTTTGTCTCTTATTATAGCCTTTGTTTGAAAGTCTATTTTGTCTGGTGTAAAGATTACTATCCCGGATTTTTGTTGTTGTTTCCATTTTCATGAAATATCTTTTTCCATCACTTCCTTTCAGTCTGTGTGTGTCTTTCGATTTAAAGTGAGTCTCTTGTAGGCAGCGTATGTAATGATCTTGTTTTCTTATCTATTCAGCCACCCTATCTTTTGATTGGAACATTTAATCCACTTACATTGAAAGTAGTCATTGATAAATATGTAGTTGTTGCAATTTTATTATTCATAGTTTATTCAAAGACTTCTCTTCCAAGCAATGAAACCCTGGGCTGGGGAGCCTGGTATGGGGACGTCAAAAAATTATGCACACACATAAACCTCCTCACAGATGTGTATAGCAGCTTTATTCACAGTTGCCAAAACCTGGAAGCACCTAAGATGTCCTTCAGTAGCTGATAGGATAAAGAAACAGTGGTACATCCAGGCAGTGGAATATTCTGTGCTAAAAAGACGTGACCAAGCAGGCCATCAAAAGTCATGGAGAAACCCTAAATGCATATTATTAAGAGAAAAAAGCCACTCTGTAAAGACTACATACCATACGGTTGATACTATATGACCTTCTGAAAACAACAAGATTATAGTGACAGTGAAAAAAATCAGTGGTTGCCTGGATTTAGGTGGGAGAGAGAAAAAGGTAGAGCACAGAGGGTTTTAGGGCAGTGATACCATAATGATGGCTACGTGCCATTAAACATTTGTTCAAACCCTTATAATGCATAACATTAAGAGTGAACCCTAATGTAAACTATGGACTCTGAGTGATAATGATGTGTTAGTGTAGCTTCATCGATTGTAACAAATCTACCACTCTCTTGCAAGATGTTGATAGGGGGAATGTTGATATGAGGAAAGGGAATATATAGAAGCTCTCTGTAATTTGGAATATATAGAAGCTCTCTCTGTATGCTGTGAAACTAAAATTGCTCTAAAAAGCAAAATCTACTTGGAAGAAATATGAAGAGGTCTAACTACTATGCATTGTGCACTTATTAGACTAATATTTTATCATATACCTTAGAAAATAAACAATGTTTACATTTTACATTCACATCAAAATAGTTAAATATGGGAGACCAAACTACATTTTTGTATAATCCATTTATAAAAGATGTAATTAAAATCTGTTGATGAAATTATAGAAAGATGAATTTAAGCCCAATCATATTATTCTGTATTTCAGAAGGGGATAGGCTGAATGTATTTTTCCTCCAGCATCTGAATAGAAAATCACAGGAAGAAAAAAATAAGGTATGTAAGTAGTATCCCATAATCCTCAACTATTTTTTGAGTAGTAGTTTCACAAGTGACAACTTCTATAGTGACAATTTGAGTAGTGAGAAGGGAAAAAGAGCCTTCAGATATCAGTGATGTGCTCCCTAACGTTTGCTAAAGGAGTAACATATAGATCCTGTAGTGGAGCCAATACGTTATTATTAAAACAGTATTCATTTATATTTTTGTCCTTATATTTTGTCTCGGAGAGGATGGAGAGAAATAGTGCTAGATTTCTTCAGAATGGCATGCAACTTAAAAGTTATGAATTGTTTATTTATGGACTTTTCCATCTAATATTTTTGGATCATGGTTGACTACTGGTAACTGAAACTAAGGATAACAAAACCACAGATAAGGGGGGACTACTGTATGTAGAGTAAATGTAGCTGGAAGAGAAATTGTTGATGTAAGGTTTCATGTATGCTGGGTGTTGTCCAGTAAGTTCTTTAGGATTCTTTTCTACAACTAGAATTGCTATGTCAGAGGCAGACTTATTTTTAAGGATTTTAAAGCATATTTGCAAACTACCCTCCACTAACCTCAAACGAACCTACCAACTACATATGATAGTACCTGCTTTATAATTTCAGCAATGTTAGATAATATTATTTCTTAATATTTCCCAATTTCATAATTTAATAATGATAGTTTATATGCTTTACAGGATAGTTTGTTTATGTGCCTTTTCCTCACTGTAATGGGAGGTCTTAATTTTTAATAATAGAAAATACATTAAAACAAACAGAATTAAGCATTATAAGGATAAATATGCAACACTGATTTATTTAAATAATTTTAGGTCATCACAGATTCAGAATATTTATAACCATAAATACCTACAAAACTATTTATGTGAGTTATATTAGAGGTATGTATCTGGCAGTGTATTTTTACAAAAACTAGATTTTCTTTTGTGAAGCAGTTCATTCTCATTACCAGAAGATTGCACAATATAAAGAAAGAGATGATCATTTTAAAAACTCACACACTTACAAGTTATTACCATAGATAAACATAAGGATTTGGACCTCCAGAAATTTCCCTGTACAAATTTTGCTGTGTCTATGTACATGAATAAATTAAACAATGCAAAATTAATTCATATTTACATACTGCATTATAATCTAACTATTAAAGTATTTTATTAATTTGGGGTTTCTTGATAATATTCCATTGGTGTATGTATTCAGATAATAAATTACTTGTTGGAAGCTTACGCAGAAATAACAATTTTAAATAGAGACAGGAAATGGATTTTTAAAAAAATGTATGAAGCCTGCTACTATAAAAAACTGTCATTTATTTTAGTTATGATATCCTGATAGCCAATTTGAGTTTGATAAAATTGCTTTTCCACCAAATCATCTGTATTTTTTTGACATTTCCTATCTCTCTAAATCCAGAACTAAATATAGTCATATTTTGATTTCAAATGCAACCTTAAGCTCTAAACACTGGAGAGAAATTGAGCAGGACTAAAACAAACTAAATAGTCATTTTAAAGATGAGAGAATATCAGATTGCAGACCGTAGAGAAAGACTGAAATGAATACCAAAGAGAAGGACCTATATTGAAATAAACTCAGCT